TTTGTGGTTCCATGTGTGCTTCTATTGTACTTTAAATTTTGAATTAAGTGCCTAATCTTATGTTATTTTGATTGCAATACCCTACACCCTACCCCACCCCACTGGTTACTAAGTGGAAATCAGTGATTGCACACAGTTTTTACTAAAGGTGGTTAAAGAAGTTAAGAACCAATAGATGATCAGTGATCATTTGCATTTCATTATCACAATCAAATTATCATCATGATGATCACGATAATGATGTACCGGTAATTACCTTCTTATTGGTGTTTGAAGTTCATGAATATTATTGGTAAAATCTGCTGCTGATCTGATTTTGATGATAATGAAGATGATGACGACAACAATGATGATGGCGACGAACGGCAATATACAGTATATCAAATGGAAATGATAATTTAAAGATGATAATGATTATGATATAGTAATAATGATTATGAAGGTGATAAAAACAATAATGATAGAGATTTTAGTCAAAATAAACTTAAATACGTCATAAATATTGAATTTTACTACTATTCTAATGTATACTCTAATAAATTATAAATACTGCAGAAAAAGCGATAAATGTACAGTAATTAATTCAGATGAGTATAAACTGATAATGTACTGAGTAGCTACGAAGACACACTGTTTGATCACCTTTTGATAATTGCCTTTAGCTGGGGAACCCGCCCACTCATTTCACTTAGTATAATATTTGATTAAACATTTTGAAAGGCAGTATCCACTCTTGCATATACATAAGCTACGGTAGATGAATTATAACTCTTTTAGGCAAAAATTTTTAAACCGAATGACTCTCACTAATTTGCATTTCACCATCAATGATGAATCCAAAAAGCAGACAATTTTAAGCTCTCTGTCCACTCTCATAAGTGTAACACATGTACAGTACCGTACATGGATTCACCCATGTAATATTATGACATCATTATGCCTATATATGGGTGTGATATGACATCATCACGTCCATATATGGGTGTGATATGACATTATCATGCCCATAAATTGTGTGGACAAAGCTTCGCACAATCAACTCTCTCCTTTTTTGGGGGGGAAGGGGGCCTCCATCATTTCTTGAATCGCTCCTTTTTTTTGGGGGGGGGGGCAGGGGGAGCTCCAACATTTCTTGAATAATTCAATAAAACACTTGAACACTTATTTAGCCTGGAGTGTGGCGGAAATCTCTAAAAACATCTCCCCCTTATTTTTTTTTTTTTTTTTGTAAAGCCTAAACAAGGAGCTCCCCCTTATTTATTTTTTTTTTTTGTAAAGCCTAAACAAGGAGCAATTTTCTTGGCCTTACGATAAACTTTGAAACATATTTATGGAGCATAAATAATATAATTCTTCATAAAATATTCACATTTATACTGTGCATTAAAACAGTTTGGATATGTACAGTACATACAAACAGCAAAATAGTTATATACATTCATTTTTAACTACAGTATATGAAAATACGAAACTTCTCTTGTTTTATAAATGTCTGTAGAAAATAGTTTAAAATGACCAATAATTTAGAAACCTACAGCGTAACAGTTACTACAATAAAGATTTTACAATTTTACATACACACACTGTACAGCACTCTATCTGATTAAAAAAAAATCAAATCTTGTTGAATTGTGACAATGTGCATATAGAATGTGGCACTATTTTTAAGCATGTTTATCGCATAACACTTGTGTTTCTACTCATAACTTGAAACGTATGTGGTCTTGCATTTTAATTTTGTTCTTTACTTCTAAAATATTAAACTGAAGTGGCCAGCAGCATTAAAACAAGATGGTTAGTATTGGGTGTTTACATTTCAATGGGTATTATAGTAATTCAGGGTCAAAAAAAGATGCAAGAGCATAGGAAGTCCTATCTGGGTACAAAACAACAATACAGTAAATAAATCTACACAGTACTGTATTTAGAATATCTATTAGACAAATATTTATAAAACTACAGTTCCATATACTTATACCTGAATTTGTGTATAAAGTTTAACACAAACTTCAAATAAAGTGAATTTCTGGTGTAAGATTACCTACAGTAGATAATAATAATAAAATCTTTCACCTCTTCACCCAGACATTCCTCAAAGTCAGTAAACTTTACTTTGGATGGGGTTTGCAATGTGTGCCATCACAATGTTTGGATGGGGTTTGCAATGTGTGCCATCACAATGTTTGGATGGGGTTTGCAATGTGTGCCATCACAATGTTTGGATGGGGTTTGCTGTGTTTTTTTGGAGGTTTGCGTGGTTTAGCAATACCCGACTGATGGACATTGATATATACAGTATGGGTTCAAAGGTCGTAAACTAAAGGTACTTTGATGTTTGGTACAAGGATTTCCTTTTTATTTTTTAATGAAAATGAAATCAGTCAGAAACCTTAAACAATATTAATTAATATTTAACTTCATTTTTACCAAAGTATTATACTGTACGTTAAGAAATATAAAGTACACTTCAGTTAATATCTAGGGAACAGTGTCATGAAAGCAATTAAATTTAAGACAGCTATTAAATTTTAGAGGGCAAATAAAAGTATAATAATCTATGCATCTGTACCTGCACAAATGTGAAACAAAATTATAATGAACCGGAAATCTAAATATACTGTATTTGGGAAATAAATCTGCAGCAGGCGTGTGAATCTACTGTTTCACTTCAACAATGGACGATTATCGTAATATTTGTATTGGTTCACAAAAATAGCAGAGAAAGACTTCCGGAAATACACTTTATGAAAAGAGACAAAAGAGCAAGACGCAGAAAAACCGCGTTAAAAGCCAAGAGCATGTAGAATTTTGATCTGAACTAACCACAGCTTGAATGTTGGAACAATAAACTATTGTATGATACAAAATCTTGTTACAGTCTAGAGGTTTATTTTAGAATGAAAGTTTCCGATTTCAAATCTGGAGCATTAACAATGACCCATCCTTGAATACTTTTGTGGAAATTCCAAAGAATAAAAAGAAACCACAAATTCTATTGGAAGAGGCCACTTACTGTACATAATGAGAAATATGACAGTCACATGTATAGAAAATGTCTTCCAGTGAATAAACAAAGAGAAATATTTAGAAACAAATTCAATGTCATTGTCAAAAAAATCTAAACTATGCTTTTCAATATATTCCTTTACAGTATACATTTCTCCTTTTGTTGGAATTCAACCAGAAGTGACTGTGGTACAATAGGTAGCATACAGTACTTTAACACTCAAAATGCAATAGTGGTTAAAATTCTAGAAAATCCTATATGGATTCTTGTGAAATGTTTGTGGGGAACTGGAAAATTGGCTCAAATTAATAGAGTTGCTCATTCAAATATAAAATTTAACAAATTGAACAAAACTGAATTCCAATCAGACCAGAAAACAATTATTTATTGTTTAATATTTAAAATTTCAAAGAAAGTTTTTTTTTAAATACCAGACTAGACTTTATGCTGTACTGTAGATTAATATTAAATACTGTACAGTAGATTTATAGTTTGTTAAATTATCACACTGTAATTTCTTAAATATTGGCAAATTGTTATCAATGTACCAGTCCTTTTTCCACATCCTAACCATAAGCATTCATTATGAATTTTATTGGAAAATAGGCCTATATAAATAATACTTTAATACAGTTTAATTTTTGCCGTGGCTAAAGATACAGTACCGTATCGGAACTTCCGAATGCTAAAGGTACGGTAAATGATATTACGTCATGATTAGCCAATAGAAATGACCGACTCGATTTTGGCTTTTTTGCAAAGTCGACGTCGCAATCATGAGAAACGTGGCGCGAAGTTACGATCAAATTCTTGTCATAAAACTTTAGGCCCATTTCATGTATTTCGATTGGGGCTTATCACAATGTTTGGGTTAAAAATCCTTTCTGTTATTCTTGCGTATTTTATGGTCTACCATAGAGAATGGTCTACTAAAGGCCAACTCAGACAGCGTCGGCCGACGCAGCCCAACCCGATTTATTGTCGGGGACAATCTTAAGCCGTCATGAGAAATATTAAACATGTTTAATATTCTACGACGCGACTGCCCCCGACGCACACCATCGCATCTGCGTTTAACTCACACAGACCCGACGTGACAACAAATCTCGTCGGGCTGCGTCGTACGACGCTGTCTGAGTTGGCCTTAAGGCTAGGCTCAGCCCGAATACTACTAGGCTAGGCTTAGGAGGTTTCAGGGGTAGCTAAGGCCTAGGCCTGGCTTCTACTATTAAAATAGTTTATTCTCGCTTGATGTCGCCAAGTCTACAGTAGCAAAACTGCTATCCTTTTTATTTGCTATAGGGCCTCGGGCTATAGAATATTAATCACAGCTTACCGACAACACCCGCAAACGAACGAATCTTCGCAAAACACACACTCGCTACTCTTGCAGCAGCAGTGCACTGAATGACGTCACGCATGTATCGGCGTCTCTATTGGCTAATCATGACGTAATAACATTTACAGTACCTTTAGCAATCGGAAGTTCCGATACGGTACCGTATCTCTAGCCACGGCGTTTAATTTTTGCTTTACACAACGAATGTGTAAATAATACAATATAATTATGAAATTATCTCTATACATGAAGAATTCCATATCTGTAGAAATATTAGTAAAAAACAAATTACAAACATAGATAAAAGTACACTGTATACGGTTAGACTTTACTTTGGCCATAGTACTGTATAGGCCTGGATATGCTACCACATCACAACCAGGTAAAAGAAATTTGAAAACATCTTCAACTCCACATAAAGGCAATCATGGGCCAGGCAAGTCCTGACACGTCGTCGTACTGTACATTTGCACAATGGTGCAGGAGTGGTTCTTAAGTAAACACACACACTACTGTATGGCATATGCAATCATCTTCCACAATTAGAAATGTGTATCTTTTAAATGAAGTACTTACTACTATATACCGTACAATATAGCTTACCTTGAAAGTCTCTAAATGTAAAAAAAAAAATATAAGAAAATGAAAATGAGTAAAATGGATGGAATACTTACTGTACATGCTTAATATGAAAGACATGTGTTCGTAACAGTCTGCCTTCGGCCACTAGGTTGCGGTAGATAATCAATTTCAAATCTTCGAACTCGGACTCTTTGCTTATAATGATATTCTCGTAAATATTCCTTAAACGTTGACGGAATATTCAAAAAGTGTATACCATCGTAGGTTATATTACTGCAGACAACGCCGCGACAAAGGGCTTTCAGCGAATGAGGATTCTTAATCGGTAAAGGGGTCGTGAGCATTGGTTCAAAAAACATGCAGCAATTTGGATCCTTATAGTGTTCGAGTAAGCCGGTTACCGTGTCCGAAGAAAAAACACCAGGATCATGAGCATCAAAACTAAAACGATGTGACCATTGCTCTAGTCTAGCGTGTAAAGACCGACCGTACCGACGAAAACTTACTGAAAATAAAAACTCTTCTTGAGCGCTATCACGTAGAAGGTATGTTCCTTCTGGTTTGTTCTCTAAGAGTGCATCAGCTTGATATCGGTCAATTTTACCCCAATAGCATGGTTTGTCCAGTATTGACTTTAACCCGGGCACCAAGCAATGAATATAGTCTATTTGTGTGTGCACTGTTCTAGGAATGTATCCATTTTGAGTGTGAGAACCAAATTGACCATATAAATCCTGAGTTACAATTGTATTAGACCTTTCAACTTGAGAAGCTTCAACCCCAGGGACTTCACTGGTGCCAGCTGGAAGAGGTAAACCAGTGTCCAATAACTCAGCTTGTTCTATAGGCGTCAGGATATGACTTGGAGCATTGGCACTTTGTGTAGCTTGACCGTTAAAATTGGAATTTCCTGACAATGCATTACTGCCATCAGTAGTTCTAGATTGTTTATCTTTCTTCCCGGGTTCAGATGGTGGTTGACATGGATTTTGTTTGGTTTTTTTATTTCGCGATCTTGATCGTGTCCTCCTGGGGAAAAGCGTCCCAGCAAAAGATTTCTTTTTAGCACTGGGCGTACTTACGCTTTCATCTTCTTGGTCTCTATTCCATACATATTTTCTAAGGCATCCATAAAGTGATTGTGATCGACTTCTGCCGCTACACTTGTCATAATCAGATGTACAATTATTATCTTCATCGGAATCGCTTGCTTCTTGAACACGATTCTCTTTATCATCTAAAACACCCTCTTTATCTTTCCCTCGAAATAGAGTCCTGAATTTGTTGGTCCACTGATCAAAACGGCTTCGCTGTTTATGTTTGTTTGAATAGTCTTCGCAAGTATCATCCTCGCTGTCATACTCAACCGTTATAAGGTTTGCTTCATGGTGAGCAAACGCACCGTTGTGTAATGTATGGCGCCCTTTCTGATTTTCATTGTCACCATTAAAATTGTGCCTTGTTGTCGAATCAAGGGTCTTACTACATTTACTAGAAGGCTGTCCCTGTGAAAAGTTATCAGACTTTGTACTACTAGGGCTAGGCTTTCTACCACCTGCAATACTACCACCTGCAATACTACCACCACTACATGCACCTGAGTCTGTTGCAATTAATGTGACAGCGTCAACTGGAATTGGTGGATCTTCGTTAATCATCTGAATGTCATTAATTTGTTGAGTGTCCACTGGACTTAGATCCAATGATCTGGTGGCTGACGCTCTGGATTGGAGTTTCCTTCCATCACTTTCAGTGTTATCACGTGCCATCATGATCAACTCCGGCGATGACTGTGAACGCCGCTTAGAGCTAGCCAAAAAATTGGAAGATGAAGCCATAACGACCGCGAACCAAGACCTAGCTAGTCTAGCCTAGGCCTTGACTCACAAAAACAAACCCAACCAAGGCCTCGCGTCTCGGTACGATAGTTTCGAACGATAATCAAGCCGTCTGTATCTCTTTTAAAGTTATAAATTAACAACGTACATTATAGCAGTGTTATGTGCTCACGTTTCGATCGGCTTGTACCAGCTTTCCTGAGCAAATGTTGATGTCAATTGGTAACTAAACTTCAATGAGAAGACCAGACTTGCAGACTCTGTGCGTGTAGCACAGTACTTCCTTTTTCTATTCAAAGAAGATATACCAATCGGAAGTAATGACGTCACAAAGGTTCGAGCCTCTTGTCACGTGATATCACTTAGGCACTTTGACCCCAACTCTAAATTTTCGCGCGAGATTTTCAATGTTCGTGGGAAAGTACCAATTTACTAGGGCCTGCTGGTTTACTGGTTCGATTTGGTAAATAATATTCAATAAAATAGTTATATAGGTAGGCTTAGGCCCTAGGCCTAATTGTTTAGCTTCATGTAAAAACATATTACTGTATTAGCCTAATAATTAGGTAATTCAAAATATTTAAAGGTAAACTAAAGTGTTTGATTCTCATTCGGCTAGGCCCAGGCCTAGAGGGTTGTTGGTAGGTAGGCCTAGGCCTAGGCCTACTACTACTAGTACCCTAGGGCCTAGGCCTAGACTATGACGTATAGGCCTAGGCTTACTGTAGCTAGGCTCTGCCTAGGTAGATGAAGGAGGAGGCCTAGGCTAGCAAGCTGGAGAGAGAGGCCTGGCCCTGCAACTAAAACTAGACTACCTAGCCTAGACTAGCAGGCTAGCCAGCAACACTGGCACTGCAGACTAGGAGTCTAGGCAGAGCTAGCCTAGAGGCCTAGAGATTAGGTGCTGCTGGCCTTCCGACCCTGGGGTCATGGGTTCAATCCCTGTCCCTTTATTAACAGACAAGTTTTTTTTCATGCCCAAAAACATATCCACTCTCTCAACTCAACTGAATATATTATAAAATCATATCTTTATGTTTTTTATATTTTCACAACAATGTAGATTATGCCAATCTCCAAGAAGCCCCCTCGTTATGGCCATAGTGAGGGACACACAGACATCTGCTACGATCATTCCGGAGGAAATATTTTGACGTGCGGATCTGACGGAGACATCCGAATATGGAAAGGATTTGAAGATGATGATCCAGAAACGATAAATGTTGGAGATCGTGCATATGCAATTGCTACGAAGGTAGTTAAAATATACACTTACTTATGACTATTAAAATTCAATTTAATTGCTGCAGCATTATGACAAATAGAAAAATTTATTAGATTATCACTCCCGCCCGCATAAAAAAATTTGGAAATATTGATTTTAAAAAAATTGATTTAATCATTTATTTTAACTGCATAAAAACAACTTGGCAAAAAACAAATGCTCACAAAATATAAAGGAATTGGCTCTGAATTCGGCAGACTTCAAGTTCTTCCAATTGATTAGATCAGACATTGGGATCGCCGTAAAGTTGAAAATGCAATGCCCATTCCTTAAACTTGTTGTTACTGTCGTTAAAAATAAACAGCTCACTCACTGCAGTTAAAAATAGACAACACCGCGGTCCGTCCCTGAAGAGACCTGCCCAGTGGGCTGATCGGATCATTAATTCACAGCGTATAGACTCGCGTGTTCCACAGCTGCTGCTAAAAATAGGCACCACCACAGTCCGTCCCTAAAGAGACTCGCCAAGTGGGCTGATTGGATCGTTGGTTCACAGCATGAAGACACACATGTTCCACAGAGACTCTCGCTGCTAAAAATAACACATTACAAAATTTACAAAACAAATGGACGGTCTTCCTTGTGATGCGTGTGTTTGGTTAAGTTGGATTTGTTGTTGTTTGGCAAAACCTAACCTACGACATCAAGAAAGTTAGGCAAAGGCTGGCCTAGCTCGAGGTAAAGACCAAAGCCTAGGTGCATATGCCTACTATATTACTATAATTAGAGAGTTCCCTTCCCTTTGATGCTCAAGGTAATGTCCGATTTTTTTACCGGAATATATATAGGCCTATTTTTTGATAGGCCATTGAATCACAGGGCAGTTGCTTAAATGCATTTGCCACTTCGAAAAACGATGTCATTTCGTTCTGTTTAAGCACATGTGAATCCCCTTGTTTAATTCCCCCCCCCCCATCTTTCCAAATTAAAAAAACCCTCATCAATTTTTTTTTTTAAAAAGAGTGATAATCTAATAATTTTTTTTTATTTCCCCTATACTCAGCTCCCCAAGGAGCTGAGTATGTATTCCTTAGGTGTTTAATCCAATGTCCGGGGTTATAATAATGTAAAGTTCACTTGAGACCTTAGAATGATGTGCTATGTAGTGTAATTCTACCATATAATTATTGGTGGCTCTGCTGTTGTACATTATCAATCTGTAGAGGGCGCTAATGCATAATTTCTGGCTGTGAGATTTAATGCCAATAGTATTGTAAGTGATTATATTTCTGTTTTCTTGAAATAGAATGACAGTTTTGTAACGGCATCAGACAACAATACAGTACAGGCACGCACATTTCCAGATGGAGCGCCTAATGGCATTGTTGCACGCTTCACTGCACCCGTCAACCACATCCAGTTCAACAAAAGTGGAACAAAGTTATTATCAGGAGCAAGGTGAGTTTTGAATGCTAATGCTGATCTCCACTTAAGTCCTTCCTTGTGTAGCACTTTAATTGCCTCGTCCTTTGGAAGAGACATTAAGCTGGTGGTCACAATGCTACTGGTCATAACGAAAATGCTATTCATTTGTTTTAGTGATTTCTCTGTCAAGTTGGTTACAATTGAAGATAACACTCAGTTGGTGTTTGAGGGACATTCTGCCCCTGTACTGAGTGTGTCTTGTGACCCTAAAGAAGAATATATTGTAAGTGCAAACATTTATACATTTATACTTATATTATATAAATGGGATTAATGGCTGAATATTAACAATTTATTTTTATATTCTTTAATATATTGTAAGTGCAAACATTTATACATTTATACTTATATTATATAAATGGGATTAATGGCTGAATATTAACAATTTATTTTTATATTCTTTAATTGTTGCATAGATTTTATGTAATTGAAACATGTTTGTTTTTACACTACCTACATTAAAAGGTAGTGGTGCTAATGTTAAATAGAGCATGAAATATAAAAATCTTTGTTATATTTTTAAAGGCTACCTCAAGTTGTGATGGCACTGTAAAGATATGGAGTATTGAGGATCAGGTAAGTGGAATTCACTTTCTTTTTTTAACAAAAAGAAAAAAAGTTTAAAAAAATAATTTTTCTACAATTGAGCCTATTAGTTTCAATGCTTGCTAAAATGTAAATATCCTGTAATGATGGCCTCATTTGTACTAATAAAGACCATTGATGCTTTCATCTACTGTATGAGTTTAAACATATCTGTTACAGTATATAACGTTCATACTGTAGGTGATTGAAACATTATATTCCTTTTTTGCAGAGCTGGGAGAAATCAATGTCTGTCCTACCCAAGTGCAGTGACTTTAGGTAAGCAGTGTATGGTTACATACATTTTGTCTATTTTTTGCCATTTGGGATAATAATAAAATGTGAAAGTGCGTAAAGAAATATTGCTGACTTTAATTTTATGTTTATATACCTAATAGATAAATGTATATAAAGAATACTTGTTTATTTACTATAATAATACTACTTAATTACTTCACTTATATCTTCCAAATGCAGTATTTCCAAAACTCTGTGCCGATTATCTTGGGAGCCAAATGAAGGAAAGGTAACTTTATGCCATTTAAAAGTACTAATAAGCAATTAGAATAGCAAACTGTGCACTAATGAAAAATTAATGTACAGTTGGGGATAGGAATGAGTTGATGTGGTGATGTCACGATTAACTTATAATATACTTTATACTTTCAACATGATATGAATATGCTTTAAAATGTATATGATGTTAGCTCTGTGTACTTTATCAGCCGTGTGGCCCTAAAAGAATTCTGAACACTTTAAAAAACACATCAGAAAGGGTAGTCTATTGTCTCTTATAGACCAGTGTACCACCAACCTTACAAAAAGAGTCACAAGTTGCCCTGTGCATTTTAGAATGCATGACAATTGTGAATTAAGATGATTGTTATTTTTCCATGCAGAATCTATGTATACCAGTTGAGAAAGAAATTCAGCTGATTGAGCGTGATACATGGGATTTGTCATTCTCGTTGACCAATGATTCAGTAACTTCAACAGTTTCCATAGCAACATTTTCTCCCTGTGGTAACTTTATTGCTGGTGCCTGTGTTGATGGGACAATATTTGTATGGGATGTTGAATCCAGAGAATGTCTTGAAAGGTACTCATAATTTGATTTTAATGGTTCATTCATATCATCTATTGGTTGTCAAGTTTCAAACTTAAAATTAGATAACTGTATTTAAAATTGACACAAAATATTTTAGTGATTAATATTGCTGTTGGCAATCCTTGCCTTAAATGTTTGAAATTTAAAAACACAACATAGAATTTGTATTTTAAAATTTACCAATATTGTTATATTTTAGCATCAAGAACAACAAAGGTGTGGGAATATGTGGTGTAGCATGGAATCCTAAGAAAACCACTCAGATAGCCTACACGGACATATCAGGACAACTCGGATTCCTAGAGAACGTTATCCCAGAGGAACACCAGAAAAAGGTAGGCTAAATAATACCTTAATTTTATATACACCTAATGTAGCCCAATTGATTAGTGCAAAAGCTCTTGAAATACAATAATATTGTTATTGTCAGAAGTGCTACCAACTCATATCTTTACTTGAATAGAAGAGAAGTTGAGCTTGAGCTTGCACTCTAATTACCTTAAAATGTGGTTACCAACCGAGAGAGAAGGTAACTAACACATTTCCTTATTTTGACAGGCCCCTGCTAAGATAGACACTAACCAGTACGCTGACTTGTTTGATGGGGATGACAACGATGACGCACTATTAAAAGCGGCAACCCAGTACGACGAGAAAGGCATGGCATCTGGTAACGATGATGCAGACGATGATGATGATGACATCCTTAAACACCATCGCAAATCAAATTTTAACGGTATTCCAGATGATGAATCTCTAGGTGAGATTATACAGTTGTTTCCTTGTGTTGCTGAAGAGAATAATTTTTTTTTTTAAGTTTCTACATACTTTAACCTGTCATCTATTATATAAATATACAGTACTTCTACAAGTATTCTCATAAGATATAAATAAAAGTCACAAATTTTGTGTTGTGCCTTTATCAGAAAATACAAAACATCCAAAAATTGCAAAAAATGATTAAATAGGCCTAACTTTGTCATTGATTATTGAATGCTAGTCGATCAAATTAAGGAAAAAAAAATCCACTGATTCAACAGGATTTGAACTTACAACCTTGAGTTTAGAAGGCAAACATTGTAACCACCAACTTGCAACTCCCTGAAAAATCCAACAGTTCAACTACTAATAGTTGCTTTTATTGGAAACAAAATATTTATGTTCAATTAATATTTTGATTACAGATGGCATATTAGGTAACTCAACAGAAGTGGCTAGTAAAGTAGAGGAGCCAGCCAAACCTCAGGTTATCTACGAGGCTCCTAAAGTAACGCCACTTCAGAAGCCGTTCATATCAGCGGCAACACCCGTTCACTTAACTTGCAGGTTCATGGTGAGTTGTTATTAAAGTTAGTTTTTAGAATGTAATGCTTCGATATCCTCTTCACTGGTTAATTATTAAGACTGAAAAGCTGTTCGTTCATAAGTCTAAATTCACAGTGGAAGATCCTTCTTTAACGATCTTTTAGGTATTGATGACTGGTGTTGTCTCAGATTTTGACTTGATGTGCTGAATCAGTGAGATGAAAACATTCGAGATCAAAGTATACCTCCATCAAGTATGCACGATTGAAGATGGTCTTTGAAATTCACATAAATTGAAGGATCATAAATATCAAAGGTTTAGAGTCATTTGTATTTCAATTCATATTTATTTGCTTCGTATTTTAAATTTTTTCACAGAAATGGAACAATATTGGTATTATACGCTCATACGATGGCGAAGATGAGAGTTCAATTGACGTTGAATTCCATGATTCCTCCGTCCATCATGCTCTACACATTGACAACCAATTGAACTATACAATGGCCGACTTGTCTGCGCAAGCAGTACTACTAGCCAATGAGAAAGATGATGATGGTAACTTAAGGTGAGAGCATTTTTCTACTACTTAACTCATTATTCTGATAGTTACAATGCTTGCCTTCCAGTCTGAGTGCCTGGATACTTCATGAATAATTACATATGGATTAATTTTGTGGAAATATTTAGTCAGTCTTATTATGTAAGCTGTAAGTTTAAGATTGCTGTTATTCCTTCTCATGACTGTCTTTTTTTTTTAATTTCTTTATAGTCAGTTGACATGTTTACATTTTGGATCATGGGATACACAGAAAGAATGGAATACATCCATGCCAAAAGGTGAAGAAATTAAGGTGTGTTGAAATAAAATTTTCATGATACCCAATTTGCAATTACAATGCAAAATTGTATGGGATTTTACAAGATATGTTTGATCTTTTGTAGTATGTGAATATAATCCTTGTCATAATTAATGTCATCACCATTGGCACCATTATTAACAATTGAACCACCAGAATCAACATTATTAACATTATAAACACTATATTTTCATTTTTTTGGAAGGTAGCGTTACGTCTCATAAAATTAATTGGTTCTTACAAAAAAAGAGAATATAAAGACAAAAACGATAATTAAATATTGAATATTAATATTTAACAGTCTTTAAAGCGCATCATTATGATTACCACCACCACTCTCATCATCATCAACACCATTAGTTTACACCACACACAATTTAAATGGCTGTTACTAGGCTGATTGATTAAGGAGGTAATGTGGAATTATATATATATACCACCTTGAACCAATTCTAAGTTTGAAATAGATCAAGGTTTATAGACCACCCACATCAAGCATATTTGACCTTATCCAATGAAGATCAAATACAAAATGACAATTGTGAATCACTGAAATAATTAGAGCATCTAATGATTAGTCAAACAATGATATACATTTCAATGTCATTTCCTTCTGTTGAGTAGGATTACCAGGGCTCTAATCAGTGTGTGGACACTCAGCTGGCTGTGTCTGGAATTATAAATACATGCCCTTGACTTAAAGCAGTGTAGTCTGAACATATCTTAATTGATCATTGCTTTTGATTATAATCCATCATCAACTATACTCCGTCTAAATAGCTGCTAAACACTTTGTGCTTTAAACACATTCACAATCATGATTTGGAATTTAATTTCAGAGTCTGTGCTTAGGATGGAACTGGTTGGCAGTTGGAACTGACAAACGCTTGGTTCGGATATTCAGCATTGGTGGCGTACAGCATGGAATGTTTGCTATTCCTGGACCTATCGTATCAATGTCCGGTTATGGAAACCAGCTGATGGTGGTGTATCACATGGGCACTGGTAAGCAAACAAGTAGCAGTCCCATGAAATGTCATCATTATTAGGGATCACCCGCATTTAATTCTCTGCTATTGTATTATGTTTAGATTAAATACATTACAAATGGATCTGTTAACAACTTTATTACCTAAAAACTGTTACCTAGAGCTCTTTGTTTCTCATGATTTACATAAATTTTACTACAAGAAATATCTTATATTTACTATTTATATATATTATTTATTGTTTATGTGTTGAAAGAATTTATATTATAATGTCAAGCTTTATATAGTCACAAAGAATGACGTACATCACTCAAATAATTTAAATTTATCACGATATGGCAAATAATTTAAAACGCTAATCTCCAAACAGATGTGATTTACCTGGACTTTTGACTCTGTTCCACACACACTTCTTCATAAAATCACCCAATTCAGCATACAAGGGAACCTTCCCTCATGGTTGCATAATTATATCTGCAACCGTCAACAGAGGGTAGTGGTAGAGGTAGAATCTTCTTCATGGCCACCTGTCTTGTCTGGTGTGCTGCAGGGATCTCTTCTTGGCCCTGCACTTTTCTGCTCTACATAAATGTCCTACACAAATTTTGCTATCCTGATACTAAGTTAGCCATTTATGCAGATGATACTAAAATGTATATTGCAATTAAAACCATTATAATGATTGTATAGTCTTAAACAATGAACGAATACCTGAAAACTTGAATTTAACCTTAAAAAATGTAAATCCATGCAAATACACAACTCCAGACAATCAATTAAATTTCCTTTCAATTTTAATATTCATAACACACAACTTGACACAGTTACACAATATAAAGCCCTTGGAATTATTTTTACAGATACATTGTCATTCAAATCTCACATTTTAAAAATCTGCCTTAAGGCCAATAGAATGTTACGTTTCAAACATAGGACTTGCTTCAACAGTTGTGACCAGATGACACTCAAAACGTTATTGTGCACTAATCAGGTCAAATCTTAAATTTGGTTATCAGGTTTGGCCTCCTTATAAAATAAATGAAAAGCAATTACTTGAAAAAATACAAAGTTGGGCCACAAAAATGATTTGTAGATATGTAGAAAATCTTTCATATAAACATTGTTTATCTCGCCTTGACCTTATCACTCTCGAAAAAAGAAGGAATGTGAGTGATCTGGCTCTTATCTACATGATGAGGGATTTTGATATGGATTTATTTGTTGCGTACTACTCATCGTTATACATCACGTGTATCTCAAGCTGATAATTACTCCTATATAGTGTTCACGCATTGACATATTCAAATTTTTTTCTTTAATAGAGTTGTTTCTAAATGGAACTCCCCTCCTCATGTCAAAATAGTCAATCACTGAGCAACTTCTTTACACCTATCTGGTGTTTAAATAATTAAAAAAAAAAAACATAAAAAATACTATTATTTATATTTGAATGTTTAACTCTTTTCGTACTTGTACCTGTTCCTGGAGAAGTGATTTTCATGTCTGTGCTGGTTCTGCTCTGCCTACCATGTCAACGTTGTATTTTTTTAAGTATGTAAAGGTAGAGAAATTGAATAAAGAAAAAAAAAGAAAAGAAGAAGAAACAATGCTTATGAAAATGCTCAGCTCCCTGGGGAATGTTTGATAAGGTACCTAGTACAGCAGCTAGTAATAATTTAAATAAATACATAAATAAGTACAAATAGCAGTCATGTGATTGATGATTGTTTACAGGTGTGCCAGGTGATCAGTGTCTTGGTGTTAAGCTGTTGCACCTGAGTGGGAAGAGGAGACAGATTATCACCGCAGAAATGCTACCAATAACACCAAAGTCAACGCTTACATGGCTTGGGTACGTACTTCCACTCAATTGAATTTTTCTAATCTTACCATCCAACCAAAAGTGCACACTTTCACATTTGGCAGTCCACACATTAATGTGATAATTATCCCAAGTAAAATGTACCAAATATAAAATATTAAAAATTAGCATCAAATTGCTGGCTATGTCTAGTCCTATGTTTACTCAGGCTGCCTAGCAGGTCTCTCTGTGAGGCCTACTGTAGGCTAGACCTATCAACAATAGCATTACTCAGGCTGCCTAGCAGGTCTCTCTGTGAGGCCTACTGTAGGCTAGACCTATCAACAATAGCATTACTCAGGCTGCCTAGCAGGTCTCTCTGTGAGCCCTACTGTAAGCTAGACCTATCAACAATAACATTTTGACTGCACATCCACTATTGTTGGCATATTCAATTCCCAGGTATAAACCCACCCTCCAAATTTGATCAGATTTAAGCCGGTTACTCACTGCATGCGACGGCAACCCGATGAAGAACGCACGCGAAGACGCGGACCCAACGGGTTGTCTTTTTTATAAGGATCTATTCGGATTGCCACTGACAATCAGCAGACGGTGTTGCGTCGTCTATCGCTCGGCGGAAGCAAATGTGGATTCGTCGTGCGACGGTTGTGTGACGCAGTGAGTGTCCAGCTTTAGAGTTTAAGAACTTAAGTATTAAGTATTTACTGATTTAGCTATAAATTCAATGCAATTATTTAATAGCTTTTCAGAGGAAGGCACTCCAGTGACGGCCGACTCTGAGGGTGTTGTCCGGATGTTGAGTAGAGAGATAATGTCATGGGTTCCAATCGTAAACACCAAAGCTACGGTAATAATTCTTAATATTATGCATGCTTACTGTAATATAATTTTTTTTTAATAAAAAGGTTTTTAACGTATTTTACTGTGTTAACACACTGTGTATTTATCCACAGGCAAAAAGTCGGTCAGATCACTATTGGATTGTGGGAGTGAATGAGGAGCAAGGTCAGTTGCGCTGTATTCAGTGCAAGGGCTCTACATTCCCGCCAACCCTACCAAGACCATCTGCTATAGTTCTACCATTTCAAATTGCAGTTTGTGAAATTGAAACTGAAAAGAGTTTACTCGAGGTATGTACGTATTGAACTGACAGTTCATTAGTTGCCAAAATATTAGTCATCGTACATTACATTGGGGTTATGTCTTCAACTGTAAAAGTTGACTTCTGTCATATAATGCAAACGAAATTGTATCCTTAGGAGTGGAAATCTCATAAAGAAATTAAAACTGAAAAGGCCATACTTAAGTTACATACTTTTTATTGGGGTTAAGTGTTCAACTGTAGATTTTGACTGCTGCCATGCATACAAATTAAATTGTGGCCTAATGAGAAGGTTTTGTAGGCCTGCCTGTGCATCTTGTGTTTTTTCAAAGATAGAAAAATCAAAGAAATACAATGAATTCAACCTCATTTATGATTTCATTCCTTAGGAGAAGCTCTTGAAAACAAACTTATTTTCTGAGCACCACAAATATGCAGAATCTCAAGGGTATGAGGTAAACGAATTGGACCAATCAGAGGGTGTCAGGGATAAACAACAAGTGCTTATGAAAATGTTTGCTGTAAGTACTCGCTTTGCTCCCTCAGGCTGCATTCGTAGTTGGTTTTGAGCCTACATATATATACAGTATGATTTTTAATTTGAAAAATGTATAATTAATCAAATATTGATTGTGACAGTCAAAAATCCAATAGTGTATAGTTGCCTTTAATTAAAGGAGTTTATATTCTAGTCATGGTGATGAGATTGAACATATGACCCTGGGTTTGGAAGTTGGGCACTGGACTTCTGCACCACTGTAATGAATATAATAGGGTAGACGAAGTCTCATCGTTATTCTTTCAGTCCCCACAAAGGGGGTCGGGTGGTCTCGAAACTGCTCTCCCCTGCCACCAAGTCTACTCAGATCAACCATTCTACAGTCATCTAGTACGCTTCTCTAGGTAGTCCTCTCTTCCTCCTAGTCAGAATACCTGAGTGGTTATTTCTGAAGTAAATAGAACAAAGTATGAAAATAAACAATTGTTTTTTCAGCTGGCCTGTAAATCTGACCGTGAGTACAGGGCCGTAGAAATATGCGAAAAGATGGTATCGGAACATGAATTGAGTCTAGCCATCAAATACGCATCACGGTTGAGGAGAATCAAGCTTGCTCAGAAATTGAGTGAGCTGGCAAAAAGAAGAATGGAAGAGGAGATGATGGAAGAAGAGGAATGGGATGAAGAAGACACCCAAAATCCAAATGATTGTATAAATAGGTAATAAATTACCTGATATTATTATGCATGTTTGTAGTAAAGAGTACATGATCTTTATATTTTTCTGCATGATATAAAACTGGCTTATACTAAGTCATTATCATACATTGGTGTAGTTTGTGTACCATCAGTCTTTTTTATGTTGGTTAAGTTTGGATTTGTTTTTGCCAATAGAAAAAATGACCACCATTGGAAAAGTGACACACAAACATCTAATTATGTGGAGGATGAAGAAATGGAAGATAACCAGGGAGGTGTGGAATCAGACACCGAAGAAACACAACAGAAAACAACTCCTGTGTTGAAACTAAAACCAAAGGGTAAAATTACTTATGTTTTTAACATAATTCAATATAAATAAAAAAGGTTTGTTGTTTTTTTTTCACCACACTGAATAAATAAATTGTTTGAATAGGTTCATTAATGTTAATAGCCATGTATGCTTTCCCTGCTGTTTCAAAACTGTCTGAATTTCATTATTGTAGATAATATTCCAAAGTCAATGATGCCGTCAAGTCAAGAGAGGCGAAATCCTTTTAAGTCAAGTGCTAAAAAGACCCAGAGCGGTAATGCAAGAGGAACCAGTGTATTTGATGATGTGTCAGGCAATAAGCCATCAAAGAATGGTAAGAAACTTTTGAAAGCATGTTTTAATCTCAACACTTGGTGAGGGTAGATTAGTGCAGCATGTACACAACTGAAAGGAGGCTACTAAAGAGTGGGTAATAATAGGAAGGTAAGAAGCATGGCGAAGGACAAATAAAGGGGTGTTAAATGGCATGAAGTGAAAGAGGTGGCCCAAGCAAGACAGAGGTAGTGAGATATTTAAAGCTCTCTGCCTGTGTCAAAGGCAACAATGGATTGATTAATTGATTGAATAACTGATTGACTGAGTAATTGATTTAGTGAAAATTTATAATCTGTCTGTATTGTGCTATAGTAATAGACTTGAACAATAAAATTCAATATTTAAATTCTTTTTTATTTTGCAGGTAAAGGAAAGAATACCAGTGATACCGATTTAATAAGTCCTCCTAAATCAGCAAAGAAGAAAGGTCAGACAACCCTCCTATCAATGAAGAGCAAGAGCTCTGGTGAAAAAACAACTACTGTGACTGAAAAAGCTTCTGATAAAAAGTATGTATTTGGCTGTTAAAAAGTGTATGACATTGGTGGTCTATGAAGACGCGGCCGTCTCATGGCTAAACACCGTGTCTGCAAACTATGAGCCGTGAAGTCGCCCTGGGAAAAAATTCTTAACTGTTTTTGGAGAACTGCTTCATTAATATAGCAAATACTGTTTATACAAAATTATGTCACTAACAGAACAGATAATGATGCCAAATTATTGTAATCATAAAAGCACTAGTAATTTCAATTCATTCCTACCTTCTTTCCAATTCCATCATTAAAATACATTATAATACATGAATAATTCAAATATAACAATTATAATAACTTTCATGATCATAACTTGCCAGGTTTTTGTATAGGTCCCAGGCGCGGCTGGCCAAGGCTTGGTGCCTAGGATTTCAAGTAGGCTGTGAAGTAAATAGTTGGCAGAACTCTGGTCTATGAAGTGATACTGATTATGTGGGCTGCTAATGCTCATTTACTAAATTCTATTTAAAAGATGTAGTCAAGCATATTATTTACTCCCAGAATAACCCTTACAGATCTGCACTTGTACTTCCTGATAAAGTAGTTGTTAGAATCATTTAGAATTGTGGTTCCTCCACCAGTACTGGTCATTTGAAAACAAAGCTGGTTGTGAACACTTGGTGATTGGAAGACATCCTAGCATTCCTGCCCAATTTTGACCTTAAAGTCTATATTGTGTGGAATCATTCTAGAAATGGAAGCCATTCAAATAGTGCAATCTGACATGGCTTCCCTCTCACTGACAATCTTTAAATTAACATACACATGTTTCTCTGTAGACCTACAACTGCCTTTGGACTTTGGATGGAAGAAAATAATGAACAACTGAAAGAAAAGCATCCTAACATAAGTGAAGCAGATATAACCAAGGTTGCTATGACAACTTGGAGAGCTCTCAACTCTGAACAGAGAAAGGTATTGACCTATTAACATTTAATTTATGTTTATATCCATATTGTTTTTATGTAAAGCACATTGAGAGCTACACGTATACAGTCCCAACCTTATTATTACATAACAATTAATAACCAGATCTGAAACCAGGTAACTAAAAAATGGCTTATTTTAATTGATGGTGATCATTAGATGCATGAATACTGTGAGAGGGCGCTGTTGTAAGTGCTCATGCTCATTGCTGGCGTATAGTTCAATATAATGGACATATTTGCTTCAGCTGAAGATTTATTATAAAATTTGTTTTTCAGGAATGGACTGAAAAATTTAAAGCACAAAGTTCACTGAATACTGCCGAAAAGGATAAAAACACAGAAAACCGAAAGCGAAAGTTGACGGAACCAAATGAGACTGGAGCTAAGCGATCGAATGTGGAGAAAGATAAAGCCCAAAAGACCAATGATGTACAAGGAGGATCACAACCCAAGAAACCACTGTCGTCAGCAACTAATTCAAAACTTCAGAATTTTATGTTCAGCAAAACTTAATTATTTATTGACAATATAGTAGTTTGAAAAGTTTGCAGTTTTTTTACTCGTCAATTCAACATATGAGCAATTACCAAGATAACCCATAAAGCCACAGAGGGCTTAATTTAAAAAATGGGGTCCTCATGCAATTAAATATTACTGTACAATACAATAAAGAGCAAAATATCTGTTGGTGTTTTTAAATAAAACAGATCACACAAAAACAGTTACCAAGGTGCAACTTCACAGCACGTTTATACTTGTACAAATTGTTTAACTGCTTAATATTGGATGTAAGTTTATTGCAGTTTTGGAAGTTCCACATGTTGTTGATCAAACTCATGACTATCATTGACTCTCTCTACATCCACTTGAAACATTGACAAAAGGTTAATAATTGAAGAATGGATGTTTACATACTGTAGTCGAGTTTTTGCATGTAATGGGGTCATTTTGTTATCTATTTGGTCATTTGAATTTATTACTTGTTTAATAGCAACGTGCCAAGTGTCCTTTATAGTTTCATAATGCGGCATAGGGAGTAGCGCTGTTCTTAGCTGAGAAAAAATTCTAGTTTTGAACCTAGGACTGGCAAGGCACCTTCGAAGGATTCCAACCAAATTACAGAATGTTATAGGCCAGCATAATGTTCAAAATGTTAATATTATAAATTCTATTTAATAGAAATATCTTAAAAGCATTTCATATACTTGTGTCCTTGTTAATCTCTGTACACTTATCTTAAAGAAGAGTGGAGTAATATTTACACACTAACCACCACCACCATTCTCATTCAGTTGCAGGAATTATTGATATAAATGTAGATGCTGTATTTAGTTTTAAAATACAGTATAAGTTCAGGTAACAAGGGGTAGATTGGAAGGTGGGAGCCGGCCGGCCCCTTTTTTGGAAAGTAAATAAAAAGAATTTTAAAAAATACTGATCGCCCAAACGCCTGCGGTTAATTCTGGGCATCCAGAAAACAAAAAATTCCTGGACTAAAAGTAGTGTTGTCTGTCCCCTTTGGAAATCTCTGGATCCATGCCTGGTAACTGTTGATTATCCTTGGTATTAAAATGTAACCTTTTACATGTATCTATTATCATATATTTTATATTTCTTCAGATGGAGGTTAAAGGAGTGCATAATAAATCAGTCCATAAAGTATAATATTGTATGTATGTATATATTATATTCTGTCTCAACATATGTGAAACATTCTTTAGATATATCAGGTATAAAGCTTTATGTTGATCAAGTATTGTTACCAAATGACCACAGTAAGGATGGAATGATGCATGTTCATTATAGGATGTTTTCAGTGGCTGAGTGGTAAGGCAGTGGTGCCAACTAGTCATTGGTGGATCCAGGAATTAGAAATAGAGGGAGTCCAGGGAGGTATTTTAACAGACACCACCATGGCTGTGGCTGAGGGGAAAAAATTGATTATGGCACCTCTAGATGGCCAGAAATGGCACTCTCAGACTTAAATTTTGATTATACAATACAGTAATAATTTTTCTCCATCTTTAAAAAAACTTTGAATGTAGAACCAAGTCTTCTTGGATAAGCACTCACTGGAGGTCTTGTGTGCACTTCAATGATCAAGTATTACAACAATGTATTTATTAACCTTTGTATTAATCATTTGTGTAAGCATCAGGAATGAAAAGCGTCAATAAATGAATATGTATTTTGTAGATTCTTTCTACTTTTAATAAATTAATTTTATTAAATTAATTTCATTGAATATAATATACATCACATACATACATTGAAATAGAAAAAATATAAAGTACAGTACAACAGATTATGATTTGCCTGTTCACTGGGAAAAATATACAGTACAAACATTTATATTAAATTTGGTACTGTATTTAGAAACAATAAATATTGTCCTCATCTGAATTAAATATTGTTTAATGCAATACATTTTTTGGTGAGTGGAGTAGCTGAGCGTTAAGGCAGGATTGCCAATAACTACAACCTTAACATCAGCATCACACTATACATTCAAATAGAATAAAAAAATATACAGCAGATTATCATTATTTGCCTGGTCACTAGAAAAAAATAACATACAGTACAAACATTTATATTAAATTTGGTATTGTCCTCATCTGAATTGAATATCATTTAATGCAATACACTTCTCTAACTTGGCGAATCAAGTGGCAGAGTGTTAAGGCGGGGTGCTGTTAACTATAACCTTAACATTGGTATTGGTTAGTAGAACCAAGTCTTCTCGGATAAGGACTTAAAATAGAGGTCCAGCGTAGACATCTGGCTCGTGTGCACTATAAAGAACCCATTGCATCTTTCGGAAGATTAGGGGGTTACCCCAATGCTATGGTTCATTTCAGGCTCTGGAATGATGTGGAAATGTAGTCATTATAAGCACCCCTTTATGGCAGCTAGAGTCACAGACCACGTCCATATGTAATTCAGCTCTATGGCACTGCAAGTTATGGGTTATTCTACAAGTACAAGTAATAACTGAACGTTTGAACGACTACACCATCTTGGCATAAAGTTCACTTGGGAGACTTTGGTTCCGATATGGGACAATGTTTTTTTAATACTAATAAAAATAATTCATAATGTACCAATCATATAGCATTTATTGCACTCCTGCAACTAACAAAATTCTCCCAGAAACTAACCCAACTGCAAATTCTTATCTTCATGTTTACTACTGTATTAGTTACAGTATTGTCTCCCTAAACCTCTGGCCATGAATATCATAACATGTGTTATGAAAGCACATTAACCAGATCCCAGAAATAATATTTGCAATACAGGCTGGTCAAAAAAATAATAATAAATTATGTCGAAGGACAATATTTTACAAAATTATTAAAACTATAATACTGTATATTTAATACTATATATAGTAAATAAGAAATGCAATAATTAGAATAAATAATATAGAGTTAAATAATAAATTATGTACAATATTTTACAAAATTATTAAAAATATATTTAATACTATATATAGTAAATAAGAAATGCAATAATTAGAATTAATAATATAGAGTTTTTTGATTGTAAAAACTGAAACCTTGCTATCAAAATATACTGTACATAAGGGACTTCAAAAGTCAACCTGTTGTGAAAACATGAGTGTACAGATTATTGCTGGTAAATGTGTTATTAATACAAACAATCTTGAGATGAATTGATCAGAGTAACAACACCTCATCTTCCTGAAAAGAAAAACAGTTATTACATTTTACAAATCTTGAAAACAATTTATGTATATACAAGTTACACAGACTTGGAAGAAAAAGGGAAAGCAACTGATGAAACAAAAGAAAAAAGAGAAGTGTTAGATTTAAAATGCATAGGAATATTTAGTAGATCTAAATGGAAAACAGGAAGTAGAAACAGATTTGTAAGGGAAATAGAGGGCAGAGGTATTTTCAGAGAAGGAATGGGGAACAGCAGTATGTCAAGAAGGGTCATGGGGAAAGTGGTAGATAGAGAAGGGAAGAAACATGGTAGAGCCAGAAGGGGAATCAAACTGAGAGAATTAAATGGGTAATACATGAGAGTATAATCTATAATTCATTGTAATACAAATTGCTTACCTCTTGGTCAGACAGCAATTGTAAATCTTCCTCCTTTACACAATTGTTTTGAAATGTTTCATCCTCAATCTTTTCAACTGATACATAATTAAAGGATTTTTCATCATTATGTTCTGCAACTGATATATGGTGTTCTCTGAATCTGAATACTGGTAAATGTAAATCTTTTTTCCTATCAGTGTCTTTCTCAATTAATTCCCTCCTGACATGTATTGTGTCATTATCTTGCTCAATTGAGTCACTATTGTATTTGCTGTCACAATTTTCAACAGTTTTTTCTATGTGTACTTCTGAATCGATATCTTTGAAGCAGCTGGATGACTGGTATCCCTCACAACCATTTCCACCAACACTTAAAATGTCTTTGGAGCATTCATTTTTTTTCTCTTCAGTTTTCGATTTCATTAGCACTTCATTCTTAAGTTTACTTGCTGCTTTATTTTCCTTTGTGTGTGTAACAGAGTAATCACTTTTTTTAATATCAATTCCGAAAAAATTATTGTACATGACATTTGAGGGCGCTGACATTTTCCTTGAAATATCACTTTTTTTGTCTTTCATTTTCAACCTCTTTTCGTCCTTAATTTGCAGAGAGCTTCTATATAGATTCTTTCTTGACTTTGAAGTATTGGGTTTGAATTTTGTTCTTTCTCCATGAAATGATTTCACTGGAGTTTGTACTTCGTTAAACATTCTGTCAATATCATATGGATCTTCAGTTTTTTCTTGCTTATCCTTCGAATCTTCTTCCTCTTGAAGTTCTTTAAATCCATCCACTCCACGCTTCAACGCAATTCGTCTTGCTTTGTTAAAATGCTCAAACACTTTTCTCGGTCTCTGAGATTTTTTTTCTGTTTGTTTTTTCAACCTAGACAATGACTGAAGTGTCCTTTCAGCTGATTTCTTTTTTGGATTCTTACTTTGAATAGCATCACTGAGCGCCATACACTGTGTATAAGTTTGACTGTTAAGAGTTTGTTTTGGTGTAACATCAAATCCAGATTCCTTCCGTAGAGGCAAGGTATGTTCAATGGCAGGTGGGGAGCTGGAACTGTGGATATAGCTACAAGCCTTACGCTTACGATAACCCCCTCTTGATGGGTTTACATTCTGTTGGATAGCAGGCTCTTCTAAATGTTTCACACACTGATTTTCACTATTTATAAATAAAACATCTGTATTTTGGTTGTCTTCCATCCATCCTTTGTTGCACTCTTTATTAGATATATGTAAACCTTCATTATGAAATTCTTTGTAATCTGCCACAAAAGAACTATTATCATTGCAAGAGTCAATGGCACCACTGTGGACATGAGCATCAATGACATTACTGTGATTGCCAGAATCAGAGGCACTACTGTTGTTGTCAGAGTTAAAGACATCACTGTGGACATGAGAATCACTGGCACCACCACAAATGCTAAGATCAATGTGGATTCCAGAAGCAGAGGCACTGTGTACATGAGGATCGACAGCATCCCTGTGGATGTGGGAATCAGAAGCACTGTGGACATCAGGATCAACAGTATTACTGTGGATGCAAGAATCAGAAACACCACTGTGGGCATAATGATATACAGCATCCCTGTGGATGTGAGAATCGGAAATACCACTGTGGATGTCAGGATCGACAGCATCCCTGTGGATGCTAGAATAAGCACCACTGTGAATGTGAAAGTCAAAGCCATCCCTGTTGACATGTGATTTCCCACCAGTTCTTGAAGTCTTCAAATCAACAGCTGTTCCTAGAATAACGTTCTTGTCTTGTTTTCCTGTTTGTGAATATTGTGTTGTTGATGTGCGGGCAGTCTGCGGACACACTTTCAGTGAAGCTGACTTGCGTTTGGGTAAGAAGGGGGAGACCTCAGCAACTGCCCTTCGAAAGGTTCCTCTCCGGAGAAGTCCAACCCCAGAGAGACATTCTTTTGCAATATCTGCTGATACTTCAGGAGATTTGCTATAAAGAGTGGGATCAAGATGCAGAGTAGAATAGGTTGAGGATGTGCCTGAAAAAAAAACATTAGATAGGGAAATTATTACTTGTCACTTGTCATTTGATACTAATGTAGCTCTCCTTCCTTGCAGTTACAAAGCACCGACTACCCTCCACTGTAATATTTAAATCAAGCACAGCCCACCCTAACCAAAACCAACAGAATATGCTTTCATGAGTCATAAAATACACACAGTAATAATTTTAATCAAAATCCATAATTTTGTTATATATAAACATTTTCTCACTTGATACAATAATTTAATCATCTTTTTAGATCAAAAAAGTTTATATTTTGATATGTAGTATATATCTCATTTAATTTTACATTCTATGATAATCAATAATGTTAATATTTTGAAACATTGATGTAGTTGTGATGTCTCCAATCTTGATGTAAAAATGTAATGTTCTGTCACCGTCGGCTAATGTGTGCATTATAAACCTTGCCTTGAATTTAGACAATGGTCTATAAATAGCACTGTTACTTAATGACCTAAGTACTCAATACAATGTATACACATCTAAAGTACTCAATACTAAGTATACATACTTAACACAGGTAAGAGGAATCTGCCTGCAACCTCAGGAGCAACGAATGGATGTTGAAATGCTGCTGATACTGACATTCTTTCAGCTGAAAAATAAAATAATAAAAATAACAATATCAAAACAAATAACAATATTAATAGAATAATTTAACAAAATTAAATTATTAAAAGAAAATAATAAAGGAATAATACATTTCTTATCAGAAAAAAAATTGTAATTTAAAACAATAATATTACCTGGATCATACTTTAGCATACCAAACAGAAAAGTAGCAAAATTATAATCTGTTAAATCTCCCAAGTAATGCCTTATCTTGTTTACAGTGACTGGAAAAAAGGAAATAGATAGCAATATGTCAACTAACATTTATGTTTGCACAAAATATGTATTTCAACATTTTAATTATTGATTTCAGTAGTCAATAAATCGATGTCGTGCAAATGCTGTCACAGGGGCTGCAGGCATTTATTTAATACGGCCGTTCCGTGGCATAAATTGTCATACCCTTCTGACATTTTGCAGGACTATATACCTATAGACAATATAATTATATGTAAAATTTTAATTATGACTGTTAGTTCATTGTAAAGTTTTTTAACAATATTCACAGATATGTTGTTTTACCTCGGAAGCATGCCAGGCGTGGTATTGTTGCAAGTGCGACATGTTTTCTGAATTTGTCACTTTTAGGTTAATCATTTGCATTATCTAGCTTGTGCATACATCGTTGTAAAGAATATTGATATGAAAACACCATCAACCAGTTAATTTTGCCTTGCCAAACTCCATCAGCTCAAAACAATTTTTGAATACCATTCCAAGGCAAAACAACATATCTTCATATAAGTATTTTGAAGTGTTTAATATAATCTTAAATGATATTATCCAAAATCGACAAAAATGTCAGTTACGCTGATTCGCCTCTGGACGATATAACCCTTGGATCACTTGAGTTGAAAAACTAAATGAAGAGCAGGGACTGCCTAAAGGTGTTCCCTCCAATTTACTACATAGTGTGACGCAGCACTACCACAGGACACTAGGTAACTATTCAGTTACTTCATTTAATTTAGACAATATCTGGAAGTAATTACCATGTGGTGGTTGTGGCTTGCCTGTGAAACCTCTCATTTCATTGTGGAATTTGCCTCTATTGAATGGAGTGCAAGGCAGCGGACCAAGCAGGCCTACCATCCTTGTCAACAAAAACTCCTTGTCTTTGGCTGGGAATAAAGGCTCTCCGATGTACAACTGAAAATTAAGAAGATATATATTTCAATATTAAAATACAATTGAACATGGATACAGGGGACAATGCAGGATGACAATGTGTTTGGTCTTGTGTCATCAGATGTAAATGTTTGTGAACATCCTCTAATGTAGTCACCACTTGTTGAAATATTTCATATTTGTCTGCTATCAAAGCCTGAATATTTGATTCCAGTGGGGTCCTTCTGGTGGTGAATTGAGCAGTGCTAATATTTTCTGAAGAGTGTACTGCATTCTTAAATGTGCACATGGTTCATATTTCACATAGGACCAAAGTAACGGCTAAACATCTCAACCGAAAAACGGTGCACTATTTCAACTTGAATTTCATCCCTCCAGCTGAAAAACAAGGAGTGAGGTGGATGGAATTGAACTGGGTACCAAGAGATCTCCATGGCTTAGCGCACACACAATGGCTACCACCAGTTAATGTAGAACTCATATGTAGAACTAACTAATCTGTGTGCCACATCACCAGCATATATGTGCATCTTGTTTTAATTTTATTTTGTATTATGTGTATAATAATAATTAATTATTGGCCATTACTGATTATAGATAGGTCAGTGCCTTAATGCTGAATGGTGTCACAGTTACATGTTACATATTCATGTCATTTCCAGTGAAAAGTCTTCAGAACTAGTGCTGTTCACTATTCTACCAAAGAGTTTGAAAACATTATGTTCCAGTTTAATTGTTTTGCATACTGAAATGAGAGTAAAAATCTCAGGTGGGGCTACCGCAAAGATTTAACATTAACTGTTTACAATTTAAATATGTCCATACATTACTGCAAGATATTTCAAGAGTTTATTACCTCGGCTAAAATACATCCGACTGACCATATATCAACCTCCGGTCCAAATGGGAGTCCAAATGCAACCTTAAAGAGAAAAGAAAATTGAAACATATAATTAAAAAAAACATAAAAAATTAATATACAGGTCTCCCTCCAATTACAGACAACTTTCACTGGGGATCTTTAATTAGAGATGTTTTCTAATTGGAGGAGTCATTAATTACTGGGGATCTGTATTTGAATTGCTTATATTATTATTTTATTAAAAATTAGAGCAAGAAAATATTTTCGTCTTCAATTATGACTAAAATGATACAATGTCGATATTCTGTGCATAGACTCTGCATAAACTGGCTGGTAATCAATATCAGTAATTGGATTGCTAGTGTCTGCTTTCTTGTCAATGTCAAATTGGAATTTTTTTTTCTACAATAAAATTAGATTTTTTTGGTTGTGGTTTTGCTGAGGTGATATTCCTGCATCTTGTGCTGAAAAACCTGGTTGAAATCCAGCTGGTATTGGTTGAAGTTGGAGTTTGTTTGCTCGGCTGCTCAAATAACTCTTGCATAAGAGTTAGGCAGGATAACGGATAATGTACCTGTTCCATGTTGGCTTTGGCGCTGTACTATGGGGTAATAATGGGCCCAACCAAAATATTTAATTCCTAATTTGAAATAATGTCTAAAAAATAAAAAGAAATAAGTAAATTAAAGATAAAAATCAAACAATTTCAAACATTTAGCTATTTTAGAGATAAAAAAAATGATGATAATAATAATTTTAAAGTGTGTTTGGAGTACATTCATTCATTCTCTTTTTAATTCGGAATACATCCATATACTTACAATTACCAGTTACAATAAGATATAACTGCAGATTGATGAACTGTTTGCTGTCACTATACACTGCAGTTTGTATTATACGATTCAGACTTTGGCTGACTGTAAGATGCTTAATTGTACAATATTCATAGCACATCTGACTTAATATGATTTATATATTTACACAGATATATTGCCAACAGCAAGTCATTCTTTTACAATTCCTTTTACTTAATACGCAACAGCAGAGGCATTTACAGGATGACATGACCGGAAGTGAACTGATCCAGACTTTCACCAGCAAAAATCCCACTCTTTTTTTGAGTTCATTATGCTGATAGGATTAACAGCTTAATATCTCATTTGGAGGACAGGGTACTTCAATGCAATTTATACAATTATCACAGTCAATACCAAGAATGGAAACACCGACAATACCCCAAAACAAACACATAACATGCAATTAATAGTATCACTATACAAAGTATGCAGTTCAAATATTTAATATTACCTTTTAGGTTTAGTATAATACAAACAGTAACGTTTCTACTACCACTTATTACTAATAATAACAACCATAATAATAATGTCAGTCCTAGAATCATGTAAAGCCCAAATCCAACAGTGTCATTTGATGCAGCCTGATTATTGATGGGGAGAGTCTTTAAAGTCATTGTGGGAATACTGAACATTTTTTTTTTTTTTTTAATTTTATTTCAACATCATCCAACAGCGACCAGTGTCGCCCATAACAGGATTGATACATGAAAATTGATACATAAAAAATTTATATGTTTATTATTTATTTAACATGTTTATTATTGTATGTGACTGTCCCTGCGCAGAACTATCACGCCAGAGTTTACTGTAACTCACACAAACCCAACACAACAACAAATCGCATCAGGCTGCATCGTACGACGATGTCTGAGTTGGGCTTAATGCGATTATGCTTCAATGAACTTTATACTCACACAGCAGGAAAAAAACTGGGAACCAACCCAGAAAAAAACAACCAAAAAGTGGAGAAAAACAAAAATTAGACATGAAATGGAAACATCACCACTTCATTTTTATCAACAGTCCCAATGCCAACCAGTAATTTAATCTCATTTAAAACCCAATAAAATAATGAACTATTTTATATACACTGACCTACCAGGAAAAAGTACAAAATGATATTGTATCCTAGGTACAGTAACATAGCTAAGGAATTTAATCTTTGTGGCACGCTTCAATTTTTTACCTTCGATAGACACAATGACAACTAGTGGGAAATAATTGCAAACTGACAATTGGTATTAAATGCATGGCTTCTTTGGGTTGTTTCTATGGTACGGCACATCACTGATATGATGATGAATATTGGATGGAATGCCAATAGAACTATTTCCAATTTCTTGGAAATTTACTTTGCTCAAAAGATACCACCCTCCCCACCCCCTGTCTCTTACAAATATTGAGATTTTTCAAGAAATATCAGGCCTAACATAATATTAATAAATGCATCTGTTTAGAACTGGTATCTACAGTTGTATAAATTAATATAATGTAAGCAAAAAAAAAATGGTATTGATAGTACCAAGCATTCAACAGTATGCCATTTGCATGGTTGTTAGAAAGTCTTTATGACAACTTAATTATTGTATTTGATAATTACATACTATATATAATTAGTTTTAATAAACTTCACACTGAAATAATGTAGTGATCGGGCACATATACATATATCTTCATGAATGCTTTTATAGAATGCGATTTTATGGTATAATTGAGCTTATTTTAGTTTCAAATAGATAATTTTCGCGTAAAGATGAAAGTGTCATCAAGTTTTAATTGATCACGACATTCGATCTTGTAAAATATTAGTAACCCGAAGGTCTACGTATAATTTATGAGGACATATGATACAGCAATTTCTTCCAATGAGGAACACATTGGTAACCTCTTGGCCAGCCAAGCCTACGATTCTGTCACTAGCTTCTGGTTTATTTGCGAAAAATGACAACAATTTGATCAGTCTGTATCATTCAGTTTTGAAAACATATTTCAAGTTATCTCAATTGGACTATAAATCTAGAATGTATAACAGGGTGGCACATCAAGATCTTTTAATGATTGCAATCTAATACTTGTGTTTTGTGTAACGTGATCTGGGTTGGTTTGTCAAAGTGTGGCAGCCAACCTCTCAAGTGCCTACTAAAGCAAAATGCTGTGAATCACTATGCAGGATCTAATCATTTATGCTTCCCATGTGTGACTGTAAACTCGAGGAACATTAATCTTGTGGCAGACACAAGGAAGCTTTAGCTTTGCAACTTGTACACAATGGCTATGCCCCGGATTGGGAAAAGAGGGAAGAGACAGCGGAAAGGAAGAGAGGTACAAGATAGATGGTAGGAAAGACCGTACACAAAAGAGACAGAAGAGTCAAGGAAAAGAGAAGCACAAAATATGACAGGAAAGGGTGTAAAGAAACGACATGAGAAGAGGAAGGGAAGAGACAAAAAGAGGGCAAAGAATGGCGTATAGAAAAGACAGAATGTAAAGAAGAGTAGCAGAAGAGAGAGGTCCATAATAGTGAGACAGAAAAAAAAAGGGTAGTCATAAAACAACAATAGGAATCAGAGCAAAGATACTTTAAAGACAAGGACAGAGTAAAGCCCTGTCTCCACTATCAAATTTTAGGTGACAAGTACTGCAAATGTGATATGCCTATATTTGGGTGTAATGACATCATCATGCCTAAATATGGACACATCACACACATTTGTCACATAAAATTTTAGTGATAGGAGTGGGCAATAAAATGAAGGAAAGGGTGATGAAGTGCAACAAATGGGAAGGATGGACATAGTGGTAGTAAAATGTAGAATTGGTGGAAGAGAACATGGTAACAGAGGGCAAGATGATAGCTGATTCTGGTATCTGCCTCTTGTGATGCATTCCCAGAATAATTATGATACTAGAAAAAGTAAGATAATTGGATAGGAAACAGACTTGAATGATTTAATGAAGAGGAAGGGCAGTTAGTGTGCATAACACATGATTCAAACTGCATGAACTTCAAAGGAACTTCAGAGTACAGTTATAAATTAATGATACATGAATTTACAAAACAAGAATGTAAATTGAATGACATGGATGATTAATGATGACCAACTGTATACAGTGATCTCAACATTCAAAAGTAGTTAAACCAAAAACAGTGTTAGATTTACTGTTTTTATTTTGTTTTCATTATAATGGCACCTAGATGTGTTAACAAGGCATGGCCTTAGAATCCAGGGACCCAGCCAGGGGCTCCAAAATGAAATGCAAGTCTTAATACTAATAAAGATCTCTTACTTTATCGTTCAAATTTTTTTAAATGAGACTTATTAGATAAGCAATTTAAATATTGGACTTTAATGTTCAAACCTGAAAGTACTTCTTCAATAACATTATTTTCATTACATTTCATTAATACTATTGTTATCATTGGCTATGTTCTCACACGGCTGCTAACGGTTAGCAGGATCCGGATCCTGCTAACCGTTAGCAGGATCCGGATCCTGCTAACCGTTAGCTGCCGTGCGTCCATACGAGAAAATCCCGATCCGGATACCAAAAATATGATGATCGAATCACTTGCCAATAAGAAACTGGAAATTGTAAACGCGTACGTGTGACTGGTTGATGATAGAAACGCGCTCAACATACTAACCGATAGCGCTTGCTAACCGTTAGCGGTATCCGGATACCGCTAACCGATCGGGCGTTCTTACGCAGGTGCTAACGATTAGCACTAACTGTTAGCTCCCGATCCAGATACTAGGGCTTTCGTGAGAACCAGGCTAGAGTTGTTATGTTAACGTATTTAAATCAGAATAATAATAACAACAATAATAATAATTTACATCTTTAGTGCATATTTCACAGTGCCTCCACAATGTGCTTAAAGCCTGGTTTCTGTAAAAATTTGCTACACACAATCGCCAACAGCTACACAGTGCAAGGATTGCAGTGATAATGCTGTAGCAACTATGTAGCGATTCTATGGAAACCATGGATTACGTCAAATTATAAAACAAAAAGGATGATGACTTTACAATAATATAAGGTGTGAGGACAAAACAAATATGATTATGATTATTGTTATGTTAACCTTTACCAGCATCTGTATCAGCATTATGTTATTACATAATTCTATCATTATTCATTCATTTCTTTCAATGCTTCATTTCTAAATAACATTTCTATACAATCTTATATTATATAAAA